AGAAAGTCGTGAAAATGCTCTTGGAGCGAGGCGATATTGAGCCTGACACGGCAGACAAACAGGGCGCAACACCACTCTGGTGGGCTGCGGAGAATAGGCACAAGGAAATACTGAAGACACTCTTGGAGCGAGATGATGTTGATCCCAATACTCCCGTTACCAAAGATGGCTGGACCGCACTCTGGTGGGCCGCCCAGAAGGGAAACACAGCAGCTGTCGAGATGCTACTGAAATTTAACCATGTCAATCCCAATACACTAGAAACCAAACATGGCCAAATGCCACTTTTGTTGGCCGCCAAGATAGGGCATGACAAAGTAGTGAAGATGCTGTTGGAACGGCGTGATACTGACCCCAATGCAGCTGACATCACCTACGGCCGAACTCCACTCTTGTGGGCTGCCGAGAAGGGGTATGGGAGGATTGTGGAGATGCTATTGGAGCGAGATGATGTCAATCCCAACACACCAGACACGAAAGATTGCAGGACGCCACTCTCGTATGCTGCAGGGAACGGACACAAGGAAGTTATTAAGGCGCTATTAAAAAGGAGCAATATCGAACCCGACATGGCGGATAAACGGGGTGTAATTCCACTCTGCTGGGCTGCCCTGAATAGGCGCCACGGGGTAGTGAAGATGTTGCTCGAGCGCGACGATATCACTCCCGAAACGGTGGATATATTTGGTCGGACGCCACTCTTTTACGCCAACTATAGCGGATGCACAAGAACAGTCGACCTACTCTCGGCGAAAAAGACACCTATTCCCAAATCGGCCGGTGGCCAGCAGTCAACAGAACCCTCATCAACCGAGCTCTCCCAGTCACTCAATCCCCCCTCCCCCCCAAAGGAACCCAAAGGCTCCGTCACCCCCAGCCAAAACCCGTCTTCCCACCCCATTCAACCTAATAGCCCATCTGAACCACCTCCTCCAGCCGCCATTCAAGCACACACCCGCAACCGTGCCCACTTCTTCATTTCCTTTGCCGTTAGTCTCATATTATTTTTCTTACTTCTTTCCAATAGCTAGTTAGCCGCCATCACGCAAGAACCCAGCCAGGCACACGATGCGGTAATCCCTCATGAGGATATTGTTTCATTTCATAGGCTTTGATGGGCGTATCATATAACACTGTACGGTAACCTACGCAGAGGAGAAAGAGCAGATCTATACAAGCAGCGTCTTTCACATCATTCCGATTTACGGAGCTACTATTAAATGGTTTCAATTTTTCTTCCATATCCCATTCCCCTTAGCATAGGACCGCTCTTCATGGCTCTTTCTTATATTCCCGCCATACATATTTCTTTCCCATTTGCTTTCCTCCTCTTTTCCGTATGACCTGCCGATGCTTTATCAACAGCGTTAGATACAAATAGACCACCGCAACAGCCCCAATATTATACCCAAACCTCACACAAAGACGTCCAGAGCTCCCCCTCCCCGAAAAATCGGGAGGAATTCTTGAAATCGCAGAAGCTTCCGGTAAATGGCAGTTACAGTGGAGCTTTTCCGGAATGGCACTAGCGGTTTTCTTCTCTATTCCAGAGTTATCACAATTCATAGGGAAGTTTCTCCGTATCATACATGTCTCTCCTTCTTTCCTACACCACCCCGAGTGCGTGTAGAGAATTAGGGACAGACAGACACGCACGGAGAAGATGAGAGCCGCACGTCGGGCGATCCACAGAACGATCAAGACCCTCTCATCACGTCTCTACCATCAATTTCGTTCCAACGCCAACGCAGAGAAGAAGGAAATTTCCGACCATATGCTATCACACATTTCCCACTGTTCCTCAATAACTAGTCAAGCCCATGTCCAGTCCACCTTATACAACTTTCAAAATTTATCCCTCCCGCCGGCAGGAAATTGCCCCCCGGGGGAAGAAGAAAAGGCTGGCGTGTAGACAACTATAGAGAGAGAAAAAATACGACGTAACCAGGAGAGGAAACCCATCGTAGCCTCATAACGTGATGCGATGGCTCCAGTTCTCACGATGTGATAGAAGGTATGATACTATACTATACTCCCGCCCAGAACAGAACAGAAGAACCCCCCCCCCCCCTCCCCCCCCCCCACTCTCTCACCCCCGGCGAGATATCATACGTAGATCACCAAACACTACACTTGTGATAAAAAACAGTCATCCCAATCTACCACTCATCAAAGCGAACCGAAGAGAAGAAAAGAAAAGCAAAGAGAAGAGAGGACGAGTCAAGTCAAGTCAAGACCAACACAACCACATTTCGTAGGAGTGTGGGGGTGGGATGCGCACTCATCCGGATATCAACGACATTCCAACTGTAATCATCACCCATATCATACAAAACATTAAAAAAACAAAACAAAATACAAATCGAAATGAAAGTGAACTAAAGTGATCCACACGGCCAATCCGAAGGATTTGATTATTATTTTTATTATGCACAGAGCTCCCCGTGCCATGATAATACGACAATACCAGACCGGTAAATAACCCGCCCCTCACCGCCGGAAACGGACCCCTGCTAGCCAGCCGTTCGACCACTCTCTCCTACCGCGCTCCATTCATCCATGGGCCAAATTTAACACTACGTACGGTTCCTGGTCGGCATAACCTTTTAGGTCTCAGTGCAGAGAGAGCCGGGTCAGCACGCTTTTAATCGCTGCCACTATTGGAGCACGGCGACAGCCTTGTGATCAGCACGGGCAAGTTATTTATGCGGTGGTAAAATGGAAAACTGCTGTCTCACTGTTACCCTTGTGGAGTAGATCTACAGCACGCTTCAATATTGGCAACTTAGGAAAGGGGATGGTTGGGCACTCGAATTTAACGCTGAAGGCTTTCGGGTCGGGGTTTCCCCGGACACCATATGTCATGGCTGTTAGGTGCTAGGTTTCTCTAACCATATGGTGACTCTCTCAGATACTTTCAAAGGTTGCCAAGCTGTCCCTTATTGCTTAATTGTACAATAGCCTCTTCAGCAGTCTTTCTTAGACACGATACCAACTGTTCGGCGGTACACGGCTTTGGGTGAACATATCAAACCTACACCAGGGCCGAAGGCGAGTGGGAGTGATGCGGAGGAAGGGGCCTCATCGCGTAAAACCTGTCTATATATATCCAGTCGTTGGCCCCCCATCCTCGCCTTGATCAATCTACCTTTACCACTACGCTCGTCCGCGCTCTCTACATCACTTACTCCTGTGGGCGTTCCGAGTGAGATATTATGAATCCGGAGAGTTCTCATCACTCTAAGCAAGTTTCAAACCGTTCGGTAATAAATTCAAGGCCCACTACAACTCAAATAACCACAGTACATGAGCTGGATCGTGTGCTACACCTAAGCCACTTTCCGGGGCAGGCATCACAACCGGTAACTAACCAATCCACCCAATTTCCTCAACGCCTGTTTGAAAAAACTTCACCCAATCCGCCTCCACCAAAACTCAGTAGAAATTCTCCAGCAATTACGGATGCGGTCCTAGGCCCTCTATACTAGTCTTGTATTAGTCTCACCGGCTACGTAACAACACTACTCAATTAGCGCTGTTATCTTACCTCCACCCCCAACAGTCCTAGAAGGCCCCGCCTCATCCTCCCTTTCCCTAGTATCACCTTCACACCCCCTCACAATAACCCCATTATCCTCAATCCACATATCTTCCACTAGTTCGCTAGATCCATAGGTACCCTCGGTACCTGGACCAGAGAGATACATGTCAGGCATGATGACCCCGGCGATCTCCCTACATTTCCTAAGATTGTCTGGGATACTCAAGTCTCCGCGATTGACCATCTGAAACGCGCCATCAGAACTAAACGTCTCTCGCCTGACTGGGCTCGAAGTACCCGTAAAACCTTCCACTAGATTATCATGTTAATGTACCAACATCTCTGAAAGCTAGTGCACCAATTCACCTGGAGAGTGTGTCTGCGTCAACTCACTGCTCGGATTTCCTGATAGCCCAGCGCCTTCTATTGTGCTCGCAAACCCCTGATGGAAGTCCGCTCTATTATCTCCTTTAGCGCCATGCATCCTTCGGTTCATCGTAGAGGCGTCTATGCTTGCACCTCCACTGCTCTTTCTCCCCGTAGCCAAAACAGTTCCCGCGGTGGCCGAGCTCTCTGGCCCTCCATCGCTCCAGATAGTCGAGAGAGATCGAGGATGAGCCCGAGCTTGCTGCAGTCTGTCCGAAACAGCGTCAAGGATATAAGATGGATCCCTAGTATCTTGGCCACCATCCAAGCCTCTAGCCCACCTCAAGTTTGATTTCGGGTTTCGTTGAGAAACTACCTCCGCACCAGAAAAGGACACCGTTTTAGGGGCAGCGTCGCCTCTAGATGAATTATACCAGCGCTGGAAAAACCAGTCACGATTAGCGTTTCCAACCTCGGGCTGGCCGGCAGGTGCCCCGGGCGGTACCCTGACATCACCTTCCTCTGCCGCTCCGGTAGAAGCACGATGCTTGCGTCTCCTTCGCGAGCTTCGATTCCTACGATTCCTGCCCCCAATCGCCCTTATATTTATATGATAAGTTTCCTCTGACCGCCGATGACAGCAGAAAGTCATCCCAACAACAACCAACACAAGGAGAAGCGTTACAAACATCGAAAGTGGGAGCACAACAGCAAGCTTATCAAGGTTCATAGAATGGAACAGCTGAGCCAGATTCGCCACCCCACCCTCCTCGGCCCCTTCACCCTCCTCGGCCCCTTCACCCTCCTCGGCCCCTCCACCAACGCCCACCGGAGCCTCCCCATTTTCATCCATAGCATGAGTTGATTCAGGAGCTAGTTGAATAGGATCTCCCCCGGCAAAAGGCATAATATAATCCGAGTCATCGGCCGACCTCCTCTCCAAGGTCCGTGGGTATAGCTTCCCATCTATCCCCTCTCCAATGAGGCAATCAGCAGGAGCTACGGTGGGGCCGGAGGTAGTTCGGTCACCCATATCAAGTAGGCATATTCCCGCCCCATTCTCGAGGTCCTTGGACAGCAATTGGCCAATATTATCCACAGAAATCAACCGGATCCCTATAGGCGGCACCAGTCCACGTAAATCGAAAACATGGGCCTCATTTCCTGAGCGGGCTTTGACGATTTTGTGGTATACTCTTCCATTTTGATCAGCTATTAATGGGGAATCAATGGAAACTCGGTTATCACTCGATGGGGCCTTGGCATTACGCCCGAGAGCGCCTTCATCTTTCCCGGCAGGATGGACTGCGCCCAGTGAAGAATCAGGCAGCGCCGGCTCGAGATCTGCTGTGTTTCCAAACCCCCTATTGGATCTCCTTTTGACTATCCTCGAACGCACCCCACCATCGCCTCCGAGCTCGATGAGACAGGTCCCGCTCCGGCTCGGATCCAGGGATACTTGCAATCTGCCGTCTATACTATGGGATCTCCTAGCTAATTCTCGTCCGCCTGTTTTTCCAAGTGTCGCTAGCTTCTTGTCGGGGCCTGTCTCCGACTCATTGGGGTACCATCCTCCCCCCTTTCCAGACTCAAAAGGGAGGGACGAGCCTATCGATTCTGCCCCCCAGTCATCAGAAGTCTCGGAAACACTGTGTAAATCTTGTGAACCAACTACCCCCGATCCAAGATTATCAGGAGTGCTAACAGGCTTTGCAGGCCGAAACCCTCTTAATATCAGCGAGGCTTCCTCTAGAACCATGATTGGGTCAGCAGGGCGTATCCCCACCCCCTCGCTACCCCTTGTCGGGCCCGCAGCATCCACCGCATAGACCCCTCCGTCATGAGAGGTTCCGACACGGCGGGTAAGCCTCCCAAGCCCTTGTTGACTTCCAGGGCTAGCATCCAACCTTTTCATAAGAACCGAGCGCATTCCTCCATCATCTCCTCTTTGAAGTTTGTAAACTCCACGACGGGTAATCTCGGCAGTTGAGACGCCCCGGACAACGTTCCTCCCCAGCAATGGTATAAAAGACGGATCGGTAGTCCCCGGGGGGGCAGGAGCAAGGTCAATTTCCTCCTCCCGGACCTCGAGGCCGGCTGGCAAGGAATGAACATTCTTCCGCAGAGGCTTGTGCTCAGCAAGCGGAGGCCGGAATTGATTGTTTGTCGCAAAGGTTGGATATAAGCATCCAGAATGACTTGCGTCAAGCCACCCCTTTTGATCGGGTCCTCTGTCGATTTCGGATTCCGATCTTGTAGTAACTGGACCGGTGGAGTCCTTAGGGGCGGTCCCAAGGATATTGTCGCCCATAAAAAGTGGATATTCATTCTGTAAATTAGTGCCACTACTATAACCACCTCTATCTTCTCTCATCCGTAGCACACCAGCATCCTCAGGAGCTCTTTCTCCGTCCGGCGGTGCGAGGCTTTTGAAATGACTCTCACCAAACCAAGGGGGGGTCAACGAAGCAGATGGTCCTTCTAGACCTTCATCTTCTCCTGAGAAGATACGGGAAGGTTTGGGAGATATCTGGTTAGTGGAACGAGGCATAGGATACGAATCCTCCGTCTCTGTTGCAGCACGGCGTCCAACAAGATCCGAATACCCACGAGGACCAGTCGGGAGTAGGTGGTTCCTAAGGTAGATACCCCTACGCCTACTAACCCCAGGATATTGAACATGGTGTTCGCACCGCTTCCCTAGGCTCCCCTTCTCCTCCGGCCTATCGCCACGGGCTAGGTCTCTATCGTCAGGTTCGGTTGGCTCCGGATATATGGGCACGGTATCGTCGACAGGAGTGGATAGGCCGAACTGTTTTTTAATACGAGGAACACCCCTCGAGTCTATCTCAAGAGCATTCCCCCCGCTAGCTCTCAGCAATCTGCTGATATGCCTAGATCTAAGGAAACCCTCATTAGAGACCGAATCGGACGCCCCGTCGTTGGATATAAGTCTATAGCCAGATTCTGTTGGGAAGGGGACTTCTTGTCTCTTCTGATAGTGTACGTACTTTCCATCGCCACCTCTTGCTTCAAGAGCTCTTGGCCCAGACACAGATACAGCAGCAGGTGTAGATGCCACCGATGCCACCGGGATTACTGGAGGTCCATCTGGGGCAGGAGGAAATAGATTGTTTGCCTCGAATAACGGGTGCTCTTGATCGGCGATAGCCTTGTGAAGGAGGAATAGAAATATGAATTGAGAATGCATAGCCAAAAAAACCGTTTTGTCTCTAATAGGGGAGAGTATGTGTGTATAAGAAGAGAAGAAAAAGGAGGTTGCGAAGTTTGTCCCCAGAGCTCCAGATATATGTCTCCAAACAAGCACACGCGGCCCCAGAAGTATTCTCATAACCCACTCTCCCACTGGCGTACCACCGGACACCCGCACATCCACGAGTAAATTGCAACAAAAGGCTATCCCAAAACAAAAGATCAATCTAACACGCCAAACTACCTGATCCTCGTTCCCCATTCAGCTCCAAGCTCCTCCTTGTCAACAACCTTACACCTCTTCCCATACCTTCGAACCCCAGTCTCCCACTCCCCGCCAGCCTCCCGGGAAACGACAATCCCACCAACCCACCCACCATCCAACAAATTACCAATAATTCCCCCCTCGCCGGCAACCAATCCCTCCTCCGCGAAGACAATTTCGGGGCCCAATTGCTTGAGCATCGGTGCGAGCGCATCGGCCTTCTCAAACCGAAGCACAAATTCCTCAACTCCCCCACCAATTTCCTTCCGCACATCCTCATCAGCACCCGCACCGCCGAGGACTAATACGAATACGTTCCAGCCGGGGACCGACAGTCGGGTTTTGAGCCTCTGTAAAACGGGCGAGGAACGGTTCCCCTCAATCACTACGACTGCTTTTCGGCCAGAAGGAGTGAAGGTGAGAGGTTTGGGCGGTGAGCCATCGTCTCCTTCATCGGCTGGCGGGCGGCGCGCATCGGTGTCCGGGGTTGTGGACCGGTTAGGTTGACCGAGCCATAGGTACAGACCCAGTGAGGCGACCGCGGCAGCAGCAGTAACTGCCAGAGGAACTATGAAGTTATTTTTTGAGCGGCGAGGACGTGACATTTCTTTGATAGAGTTTGCAAAGGACAATAGATATTCAGAGAGAGAGACGCGGCTCTGTTTGTTTCTCGGGTCAACGTGTGGAATGATCCAGTTTAATGTGTTGGTGGGAAGTCGCGCGAAGTCATTGGTTTTGGCGAACAATAACTTTGTTATTCTAGCAGCCGAGGCGACATGAGGGATCACTCGCCCTATGCAACCTGTGCCGCACGTAATCTTACTAACCCGGTAGACGATCACTTTTCGCCAGGGAATTCTTATCACACGCCGGATCGCGGAAGGGAAGAGATCAAATTGCTCAGATTTTGTCCCATTCATCGCCTAGAAAGTACAGGATAGACTTTTTTTTCTTTTTTTTTCTTTTTCTTTTTTTGAAAAAAACCCCTCCCCCCCACAATTCCCATCCCCACGTCACTCCGCTGAAAACCTTGTCACATAACTAGTCAAAGAATTGAGAGGGATGGCGGCAGCTCCGGAAACCTAAACTTAGGCCCCTAACTCTCGCCTGGTTTACTGGCTAGCCGGAACGTGGGAAGCGATCCAGGCGCCAAAGGCGGTTGGGTTTCTAGTTTGGATGAATACTGTTCCAGGGCCTGCTGTGCGTTAGACGGCGCAACAAGAGAGAATAGAAGAGAGAATACCAGTAAATCTGCAGACCAAGCCTTCAGCAGCCGACATACTGCTGATGATCCCACCGGAGGCAACACGCTCGATGGTGTACTTGCAGTTCCAGGCAACCAAGTGGTCATTGTCAACAATAAACTGTTCGCCTTGGGTCATCTGCAGGCACATTAGCGATGGGTGGCCAGAGCGGGGATCGACAACCTACATTCTTCTGAATAATGGCACCCAAGCTGGTCACGAACAAAACCCCCTGTCCAGAAATCTTGTAAACGAACAATCCCTCGCCAGAGAACATTGCCTTGCCCAATCCCTGACTCTTGTAGTCCTTAACAACGCCCTGGGTGCAGGCCAAGAAAGCATCCTTGCCCACACTCCAAGTTTGCTGGCCGTCCAAGCGGATAGGGACAATGTCCCCTAGCGCCGCCGGCGCAAGCAATAATTCACCAGGGCCAGTGTAGGTTGATTGCGCCATTTCACCTCCAGCGAGTATTTTCTTCAGGGAGAACTTGACGGAACCCTTCAATGTTACAGTTGGAGTCATTGCTACCATTGCTCCGGGCTTGGCCGTCACCGGGCAGCCGTGAGCAAGCATAAGGGTTAAAAGGGTATTGCAGTCCCTGTGGTCGATTCTATAGCTTCCGCCATTGAAACTGCCTAAAGTATCTGTGATAGTGTTGGCGCCACTGCCCGCAGCAACCTGTTGCGGCTGTGACGGTGGACCAGCTCGGGAGGGGTCAAAGGCGGTTTGCTGGGGAGGTTGTGCTTTCTGAGGTGGAGGAGGGTAAGATTGTTGATGCTGTGGAGGTGGATGTCCTGGTGGGGGGTAGTTTTGTGGAGGGGGGGGATAGTATTGTTGTTGGGGCGCTCCAGGAGGAGGGGGGAACTGCTGCTGCTGCTGCTGTTGTGGGGGTTGGCCCCCAGGTCCGTAGGGAGATTTTTCAGGTGGAGCTAGAGTCTAGAGTCAGTAAGACCGCTTCATGTGATTTTTCAGCTTCGACCTACGGGGGTAATAATTTCCTCCCGGGGGAGGAGATCCCGCGTAATTAGGAGGAGGGGGTGCACCGGCAGACATTTTTCTTCTTCCGTTTGATTGCGGATCTAGAAGTGATTGGAGTCAGTGAAGGAAAAGCCATGCTCCCATGTCCTATCGGTATCGGGAAGATTTGCGAGTCCATCCGCGATAAAAGAGATAGTGGGGGGAGGCTGACAAACATCCCTGCCGGATGTGGAGCAAAAGCAAAAACGGAAGGGAAAGGGCATCACTCACGAAAACGAGGGGTCGAAGGTAGGAGAGAAACTACAGGATATGGGCACGATAGGTAGCGGGAGCAGAGAAGGGGGGAAATGGAGAAGGAAGAAGAGGAGGGGGAGGAGGGGCGGAAGGTGAAATATTATGTAGTTTGTTTTGTGGCGGCAAGTGCAGGAGGAGGACTCGAGGGAGGGGGAGATTGTCACCGGAGGATGATACGAGTAGACCGCTGCAGGCCTATCCTTTCAGGGCTGCTAATGTTTTTTTTTTCCTGGGGTTTGGTGTTGGTTTCTAACCCATCCCTCCGTTCACCCTCTCTTTCGAGAAACGTGACACAGCATCCATCTCAACCCATTACTGGCGCGAGGAGTGTTAATCGAACATTTCTCTTCCCCCCACCTTCGAGTCAAATAGCCGCCTGGAAGACGCTCGGGTTGGTTGAAACACAAATAATCAGTGGTAAATGGGGAGGAGGGTTTTTGGCATTCTGCACACTCCATTTTCCATTCCCCAGTATTATGTAAGCGGAATTATGGTTTCTTTGTTCTCCTGTGTTCCGATCGAATGTCGACTCGGCTTCTGATCGAGCACATACTCAGAGGCACACACACGCACAAACAGGCCGCGGTCGAACTTTTCGACTGACTCATAGCCATAAGGACCGTTCATCAGTCCCCTGAAGCAGAGCTTTCTCGCCCGACAATGTGAAGTCGACCACTTTCTCGGGCAGTGCTGCACTTTGCTCTCTAGCGTTAGGTTTCAGCCGCAGAATACTGCATGGCAATATCGGTGGTGTATGGTGATTGGGCACGAGTTTCGGATTACTTGTACCCCTCCATTTCCGGACAGATGGCTGCGATCCTCAGAATCATCTATTGGTATGAAGGAATGTACTATTGAAGTTCTGCAATGTCTAACTCAGGATATTGGCGGGGATACAATCGGTGCCGTATTGCAGGGTCTATCGTGGTAACCGCAAGCGGTTGCATAGGGGTGCTAAGTTACAAGAATGGTGAATACCGGTGGAGAAGCTTTCCCACTGCTCGTACCTTAGACTATGCAAAGCAGTCCCGCCATGTGAGTAGAGTGCCGGTACCCGCAGATAGAGTGCCCATACGAATAAGGCCTGTCCTGAGATGAGTTGCACGATACTGTATGGGCTTTCTGGACTCATTGTGCTTGCCTTGCCGTGAGCTTCCATTGTACAGTACGGTGCTCGCGCAGTAAGTTTTTCTGTACTACCCGATTTCAAAAGTATCTGGACACTTGGCGCCAAGACAGGAAACATGCGCGCCAAGGTGTCCGAATACTTTTAGAGATCAGCTAGTGCTCGAGTGCCCAGCTATCATATCGCACGAGTATCCGAGAACCTCAAAGCTATCCGGACCCCTTGGCGCCAAGTGTCTGTACTCGCGGTGGGCCTTAGCATTTAAGGTGTCCCGAGACCTATGAAATTTGCGCGGGTGCCATTGCTGAGAGGGTGATCGATCGAGGCTGACCTTCGGCGGGTCCCGTACCGGTAAGCGAAGTCGAGACGCTTTGAATGATAGGCCGGATTTTGGGACCGGGCGAGTACCTGGTACGCGTACGGTAGCCCGAGAGACGTGGTTGTGGCGGTGCCATCACTAGCCACGAATCCAAGCAGCAGAGCCACAAGAAGAGGTTAAGTTACGTGGAATTTCCTGATCCATCCCTGTGCCTGTAGGTGAAAATATGAGGGAGCCTCACCTCACGGCTTGTTGAAGAGTTGAACTACCGGTACAGTACAAGTGGAGTCGAACAGCTCTCTAGCCACTCGGTCAGAGCATGGCACTCGTATGATACAAGTACTCGTAGTCGCTCGCATACTTACAGCAGAGTATTTTCCATCATGCACGCAGTATTCCTCATCCACTCGTCTTCCTCCCGTTCACACTCGTTTCCCCTTCGTTCCTTCACCCCCCAAGCCCACTCTTCCCACCAGCCGTGGTTGACCCCTGTTGCCTTGCCCCCCCTACTTCCCTGCCGCGACATACCATCCTATCATAACCCAACCCTGCGTACCGAGTATTCCGTAGCCTCATCCCCTCACTGGGTCTCGCATGCAACCTCCCTGCATCACCACCGGGACTGTACAGTACGGCATTGAAAACTACCGTGCTACTGCCACCACCGCTACCATCACTGCACATCGCCCTCACCGATATCATGGCTTCTGTCTCGTCGTTGGACAGGGACCTTTCCCGCTTGCGTCTCGGAAAATATACGCCCCAGGCCTCCCAGGATATCAGGGACTGGATCGCCGCTACCCTCGACGAGAATCTCGGTAATGAGGATTTGATGCTGGTTCTGAAAGATGGAACTATACTTTGCCGGTACATTCCGCCCCCCCCTTCTTATGGGAACGACTGAAAGGAAGCTTACTGACCCGTCATCATAGCCTTGCGAACCTCTTGGGAGAGTCTCCCCAGATTCGTTTCAAGAGATCGGCAATGCCTTTCGTTCAGATGGAGAATATTTCGCACTTCCTGTCCTTTGTTGCACGTCCTCCTGTCTCACTCCCCCCCCACGATCTCTTCCTCACGGTCGACCTCTACGAGCAAAAAGATCCGGCCCAGGTTTGCCAATGCATCACCTCGTACTCCCGCATTGCCCATAAATTGAAGCCTGGCGTCTTTCCGACAACCATCGGTGGACTTAGGGTTACGGCACAGCTCTCGCCTCAGCTGTCTGGTGGCGCGGGTGGCTTCTGGGCCGGGGGTGCTAGAAAAGTATCCGGAGGCTCGGTCAGTAGCGGGGGAGGGGGTAGCGTTGTATCCGGCTATTCCGGGTCTGGCAGCACGGCTAGGCCTTCCGTGCCGCCGCGAAGCGCAGCTGTGAGCACCTGGAGCAAGAGCTCCGATGAAGCGGCTACTCTGCCTGCCTGGAATATAGCTCAGTACGGGTATATGGGTGGAGCTTCACAGGGAAATCAGGGAATCTCGTTTGGTGCTAGACGACAGATCACCAATATCCCGGCGGCGAAGAGTACGCCTGCATCACCTCCTCTACCCGCCATGAGCTTTGCGGAGAAACGCCGTAGAGAGGAGGAGGCAAGGAAACGGGAGGCCGAAGCTGAAGAGGAGCGAAGGCGGGAGTTACAAGCTGCGGATGAACGACGGAGAGCTGTCGAAGCAGCAGATAGATGGCGGAAGGAGGAGGAGGAGAAGACGGCCATAGAGCTCGAACGGAGGAAGTGGAAGGAGGAGGAGGAGAAACGAAGGCTATGGCAACGTGAGCAGGATAACCAAAGGGAGTTGGAACGCCAAAAGGAAGTGTACGCATTCGAACGCCGCGAAGAGGAGGCTAGGAGAGTTAGGGATAGGGAAGCGCAACTAAAGCTGGATAGGGAGAAGAAGGAGCGTGAGCGAGAACGTGAGCGGATACGAGAGTTGGAGAGGGAGCTCGAAAAGGCCCGCGAGCGAGAGCGAATCTATGAAGCAGAGAAGGAGGAGAGAAGACGACAGGACACCGAGAGAATGCGACGGGACGCCCAAGAAATGGCCATCAGAAGGCACCGAACCGGCGAACCTCCCTCAACACCATCCCCCTCAAAAACCAACTTTGTCCAAAGTCACAGGACCGGGGATCGGGATCGAGTCCAAGAATCTGAAAGAATATTCCTCCAATCCTGGCAAAACAGCAACACCCCACCCCCACAGACACCTCCCCGCCAGCAGCAACTCGGCTCACCAACCCCCCAGCCCCGGGCTCTCCCGACACCGCCGCCCCGAAAGCTCCCACCCGCGCCATTAGCTAACCGCCCCAGCTCATCAAATACGTACTACACGTCAGAACCCATGCAACCTAGCCGCTCCTGGGAAACCAACGATGACGCCTCGGGCCCTGACTATGAGCGGGAGGAAAATGAGAAGCAACAAGCATACAAATGGGCCAGGTTAACATCCTTCTTCTTTTCCCTCCAACCCTCCTTAGTACCACCAGCACCAGCACCTTCACCCTCACCCTCCATCTCACCCCAATCGTCGGAATCATTGTTAACGTATAAAAACAGCATGTCACTCCTAGAGCGCGAGCGAGATCGTGAGCGCCAGCGACAGAAGGAATGGGAAGCCAACCAAAGGGAAGTCGAACAACGCGTTCCAACAGCGACCGCAGGAGATGTGGCTTGGGACGTGAATCAATATGGGTATGCTGATGACATCCTCGATTTGTATTGAGTTTGCCGTCTTTTGCGTTGCACTGCATGCTTTACAGCATGTTTACTCTTTCCTCTATGTTTGGGATACTCTTGTTTAACTCTTTATCGTTTTTTTAATGTTTTTATTGCATCGTATTCAGGTACGGCATGCTAATCTATCTTCTAACTCCAAAAGTTACCTTGGCGGAGCGGATCAAGGCAAGATGGGAGTTGCCTTTGGAGCCAGAAGGCAGATTATTGGACCGAGAGGGCAGTAATAGGGCAGGGAGGGAGGGTGTAGTTGGGGCTGTCTGTCGTTGTTAGATTTTTTCTTTTGGTATTGTGTTTTTCATTCTTTTTGTCGCTCGCTGTGTTTTGCATCGTTAGGTGTAAGTAGATTGGGTTTTTGGAGTCAGTCTAGTTATAGTAGTAGGTTAGATAATTGAATTGGTTTGGGTGGCTTTGTGCGCGGTTTTTATGGGGTCGGGGACGGGTAACATGACTTTTGGTCGGCAGAGCTCTACAGGGCAGGAGACTATCTTGGGAGAGTGTACTGTACTTGTGGGGCGAGAGCCATGTTTGGGAGCATTGCCATCCTCAAGACAGGCGGTCGTTAACCGGTGCGGAATTGACTGACCTACGGTACGGTACCGTTACGGTAGAGTACAGTGTTTTTGGACGTGTAGTATCGCACACTGCGGGCACTTGGTACGGCAAGCGCTACCACTCTCGTATGATAAGGATATTCGGGAGCTACCGGTCATAAGGTCGCATCAAAAATGCCATCGAGAAACAGAATATGCCGGTAGAGGCGGCAGGCCAAACGCATCCGGAAAACCCTCCAATGCCAAGTTAACGGCTCACCTTTTCAACAGCAGCCCTAAACTCTATTTCCAGCCTCACTCCCAATATTACCACTGCTCCTGCCACTGCACCCATCTCACCAGAGTGCTACTCAACATCGCTATGCTCACCTATTCCAACATAATTCCCATGGACAAACATTTTGTCCTTTTCCACTTTCTGTCACCTTCTCACTGATCTCATGGACTGGGATTCCAAGTTATCCTCTGGTTCTGGCAGACATGATATGATTGAATTTTGTGCCATGTATTTCGTAAAGTTGTTGGCAGGTTGTAAATGTTATGGGGGGAGGGATGGTACATGGAAGTGATGGGATGGGAAGAGGAAAACTAAAAATAAAAAAGCAGGAAGAAAAGAAGAGAAGAGAAAAGGGGAATAGAGAGCGGCAATTTCTAATTTCTGGCTTGGGGTTTTCTGTGCGTTTAAGGTGAGTCCGGTGTTGTTTTCAGTTTATGAGTTCTATCGCTGGATCGATTTTGGAATAATACATACATGGGAATGATGGAAAACTCCCAACGTGAGTGCGCCAATCGCTTTATTAACTTTGTACTGTACTGGTTAATTACGGTGTGGTATACCCGCGTAGGCATACGATCTCGTGTACCTGAACTGGTGTATAGTACAGTACAGTACAGTGCCGTACTATATCACGCCGGTAATTCTTATTTCTATTCTACTGGGCTTCGGTGTTCCGGTTCTGGGGTACTGTATCATACGGTACTCGTGCGGTACAGTACCGGTATTGTGAGACCCTGAACTTGAAAGTGTGGTTTCTGACGGGTATGATGCTGTAATTAAGTTGCGAGTACGGCACTGCGGTTTGGGACTTCGTCGGTGTGAGGAAATGGAGCCAGTTCTTGGGTGGTCGATCTGCGAGTGTAATAGGTTCTTGCAGTTGTGTGGGCGATGGAGCGGATTAACTGGGTTAGATTTGCGGTGGATGTTGCGCTGTAGTGTACTGTACTCGGGTACTGTGCTTAGCCAACTTTCTGGCACTATGTACAGTACAGTACAAGTACAAGTAGAAGTAGAAGTTCCTATAGTGTCTGGGGATTACTGTACGGGTATCGTGCTCTACTGGTATATTTTCCATAGGAAGTAAACGTATTGGATACTGTACGAGTACCGTACCGTGATCTACTGTACCGTACAAGTGCAAAGGATTGGTACAGCACAGGTATGATACTCGAGTACTATTTGTGCAGGCTTCCACAAAATGAGTCCAAAAAAAAAGGCAGACTGGCACCCTTTCTGGCTCGTTCATGGACCCGAAAAGAGTACCCTTTCATTCTTAATTCTTTTCTCCTAGACGCTCGTGCCCGCACCGGGAGAACAAAAACCAACACGAACTCGCGAAAGCATGGCCTTCCGTTGCCTAGCGCTCTGCTGCTAGGCTCTTTGCTGCCTGATACCTGGTTGCCAATTTCCTCTTCCTGTTCCTCACCCAACTGTTCAGGTTTTATTTTTTTGTCAACCTTTTTCCATTTCTGTTCTGGAGGTTTTTTTTTTTTTCATAAACTTTATTCTCTTTGGGCTTTCTATCATGTAGGTGTCTGCCCTAATCCTCCTCCTATGTTATTCATTAGTGCATCTTGGATCTTGGCAAAAAGAAAACTGTATGACTTGGGATAATATGGTAATAGGATTGCTTATTCCAAGAGGTATCGGAGGTACCGGGGGGGGAAGGAAATCTTAGCTTCTTCATGAGGTATAGTGGATCTTCAAGAGGCAATTTTTTATTATTTTTTACTGATGACCAGAGTCAGAGGACATCTAGAGTGTCTATTTGGAAGAGAAACATCAGGGCGAACTGGTAATATCTGATGGAGCATGTTTTGCACAAGTAGTATCCTGAGTATCCTGAGTGTCTGAAGGCATTGGAAGGAATGTTATTTTTTTGCTAAGGCTATATTGCACGTAATGGTCATGGTATCTTTTACCAGGAAGATACGTAATCTATATAAAACTACATTTGAATATATTGAAAGAACATTCATCAGAATGCATATGCACATGCTAGTATTCTAACAACCTCTCAAGGTAATAGTCTGCATACTTCTCTCTCAGATTCTGTTTTTTTTTTTTAATCAATAAAAGGCTTCTTGTAGGCCTTGCATCGAGTGTATCCAGTTACACACATAGTACATAGACCTCCCCAGTATACAGACCCCTCTTAAACAGCGAGAAATCTCTGGCCAACACCTCCCTCTAGTACTGACGTACAGTCGGAACCACACATCTTGATAGTGTAGCCGGACCCTTGTATCCCAACACTATAAATCTTATCAACATATTCATTATACTCTGATAACTATTCTATCATGAGCTTTCTTGACTATTCTCTCTGAAACCTATTTTGGCCTTAGTACGGCTCGCTTATTCTTCGAGTTAGCTACCGCCTAACAAGTTTGATAGACGAGTTGGTTGCTACGCGCGCTGCCGGTTTTTTTTGGCACCAACCTCGTACATTAGAGTAGGTTGATGAATGTCTGCAAATGTGAGTGCTTGGGTACTGATACTACAACTGGTAACTTGACAGCATGTGCAGAGCTGAATCTGCACGGGGGGCACAGGCGTCACAATCTTTCACTGTTACCCGTAGCACGCAATAAGTATCCGAAAACTGGGGCTGTTCCGCGGGTAACAGCGCTAGCCGAAAAGGAGCTCAACGAGTCTAGTTTGTGGGCTCTAGCTAATCGGACAGCAGAGCCAAGTGTGACAATTTTCATATACTCATTTCCAACTACAAGTAATAAGAGCGTGGTAATAGACGATAGAGCGGGAACGTCTTATCGGTGATAGACAAGGGTGGGGTACTTAGGAGAATATGTATATGTTCTGATGCTGGAATTCCCCACGAACTAATTGAACTTTGAGAGACTCGACTACATAAACCCGACACAGTAATAGTTTCACAAGTTCCAAACGCTCAAAAAGCGAACGACAAGCAATGGTAGAGAAGAATGCTGACTAACTAATAAATCCTCAATCGGACATGGAGAGATGAAATATCATCGGGTTCTCTAAAGCCGAGAGTTCGTCCCCACTTACGTGAATTCAGGGCAATTCGGACTGGTCAACCTGGGAGTATCCGAGCGGTCTTATCAGGCAAAGGGCGCACATAAACTGCGGACTATTTCTTGGGGTCTTAATGAGCCTATACTTTAGTATTTCATACCCGGCATTGCATTTAGTCTACAAAAAACTAGTCCTTATTGCATTCCGCCATCTTTGAGGCCCTCAGCCCCAGGCCTCCTCAACTGCTCCCCATCTAGTTCGAGTAGGGCGGATCCGAGTTTCTCAGGAAAGGAATCCGATAGGAGAGAAACTTCGGAAGGGCTTCCACGCTCACAGGATTATATGGCCCGAGTTTCCCCTCCTCTGACTCGAAAGTGTCCAACATCGTCCCTAGTATGACGGCCATCTGGACCACATCTAGATTCGCATCGAGGACTTTTCGGATGTCTGCCGGAACGCCATCAAATACCTCCTGCCAAAATCCCCTCTCCGACTCCTCAAACTCGTCCGGCATGTGAAACCTTTTCTCAGAAAACTCTCCAGCAAGGGTATGGATACGGCCGAAGCCCATGCCGAAAGGAAGGGGGAATGAGAATCCCCAGTCAATGATGCCCGATACCTCACAGTTCTCGTCCACCATGATATTCATCTCGTTCAGGTCGAAGTGTGATATAAACAGCGGAAGTCTCTTCAGTTGATCCAATTTGCCAAGTAGATCTCTGGCTACTTCTTTAAATGGGTGGATTTGGTCGTCGGAGGAGGATAGAAGCAATTCCAGATGGGGGCGGATCTTGCTATCGACAACATGATCGCTGCTACCCTTGACATAGCCTTTAGAGAAGATCTTGCCTAATGACTTGTTGATTGTGACGGTGACCTTAGGGCCTTTCCCTCTGGTGCCTTCGAACCATGTTTGGCCGGGAATGCGCGTCATCCAATAAGGCCAGATGCCATCGCGCTCTAGGTCTTCGTCCTTGAGAAGCTCAATATCGGGAACGACGGGTCCGAAGGCCTCTCGAGCGATCTTGAAAGGCTCCATATCCATAGGTTCGGGCCGAAATTGGATAATAACCTCCTCATCACTCCGCAAAGTTACAATCATGGTTCTGCTGAAAAATCCTTGGATGCGAGGACCTCGAGCTTTCTTTGCAGGAATGCCAGAGTGTGAGTGAGCCAGCTGCTTCGCCTTTTTGACTTGCTTTGACTCTGTATTCAAGCATGTTGGAAGGTCGGCATTAGAGGTGATCGTGATGGCCATTGAGAAGATCTCGAAGGTGGAAGTCGTATAAGGAATGAGAAGAGAATTTGCGAAACAGCAAGCTGGTAACAGAGAGGTAGAGAGACCGAGAGGCAGAGAGGCAGAGAGGTAGAGTGGTAGAGTGACAGATGGGAGTGATCGAGACGAGCTGATCGCCTGTCCGCCAATATGTGAAACTCTAGGTTGGGGGCCTGTTTGGATGAAATGGTTCCGTTCCGCTGGCCCATACAAATGACCATTTCCTTCCTTTTCGGAAAGGTTGTTGCCAAAAGGCCGTTTGGCACACCCGCTATCAATCCTTCTGTTTCAATGGTTGACCGTTAGCAACGACCTTTTCCACCAGTCAAACCATTTCGCAACGGAATAGTTGCCACTTCTTCCTTTTTTACCAAAAGAAAGCCCTAAGTTCTTCCGCAATAAAAATACCAATATTTTTCGTGTAGTTGCGGCTGAAAACTGCTATTTTGTATGAGAAAGCGGGGGCTTGGCGGATCGTTTGTCCCCGGCCTCGTACTCGTGCCTCCGCGCCAAGAGTTGGCATCTCTTTTGGAATAGCCTCCACGGGGCCATAGAGAGTGTAGTCTTGAGGCTGCTCTTGTAGCGTGAGGGATTGCACTCTGCGACTGCCGTGCCAGTGGCCACTCCCACTCATTATGTGGCACTGTATTTTGTGTCACCGGTAATAGAGTCTTTGAGATGGCTCAAACGCTAAACTTTTTATGGCTCCGAGGGGACTATTCCAAAAGAGGTGCCAATTCTTGGCTCGGAGGCACGAGTACGTGTCACCTTGAGTTTGGACGACCATTTTGGGTTAAGCCCCATACCAGGGTG